GAGGCTGGTCTGATGCGTGTTACTGGTCCTCAAGATCTGGTTACGCCTATCCTTGGTTTGTAAAACTGCCTGAGTCATTATACCTGATTGGTTAATTAAACAGCCTATACCTGGGCAGAATGCGGTAGGCCTGGCTGACTAAGGGTCCCTGGCTTCCAAGATAGGACAATCAAGGGAGACAGACGGATGCAGGCAGAAGAAAGAGGACACCACAATGGGTTAGCATGGAGAAGGAACTACATGGGCCTGGAGAAAGGACTCCAGTAAAGGCATGAAAAGACCCAGACGAAGAATAAAAGCAAGTACCATGGGATTATTTATGGAAGATAGACCAGATGAGGACGATTAAGGTGGATGGTGTCGGATGGGGGCTGGGAGATGGATGGTGAGGTTATTGAGCAAGTGTGAGTGAAATATCTGCCCGGCCCAAGGTAAATAAAGCAATCATAAATCTAACAGGTGTCTGTGACTTATTATTTGTGATATCGAGTTAAACAGTACCACCATGATAATCTTAGGGCTAATAATAACGATTATACAGCCTAACATTTATTTTTTATTTACTACAACAAAAACATATAAAAAATTAACGTTTTTTAAAAAAACCCACAATAAAGTTTTGTTGGTAATTTACAAACAAAGAAAAAGAAACTTTCTGAAATTTTCACGAAGGCCAAAAACCTCCACCTCTTCATTTGCTGCTCTCAGTGTCTCTAGGCACAAGCTGTTTTACCACTATACCAATAACACTGTGATAATTCAAATCTGCAAAAAACAACCATTATTCTGGTTCTGTTGTTGTTGCTTGTTTGTTTTTGAGCTAAGTTTTTACTGCATATCCTTAACTGGCCCAGAATTCTCTGCATAAACCATGCTGACCTTGAACTCATAGAGATCCACCTGCCTCTGCCTCTGAGTGTTGGGATTAAAGGCTTGCACAACCATGCTTGGCCTAAATTACAATTCCTTCCACACATATACATTATACAAAATAATGCAAAAGATGAAATATATAGGGGAGCAAATTGCATAATTTTTAAAAACTGGTGATTTAAAATACTGGGAATAAATGAAAAGAAAAAAACTGCATGAGAACCCAATACATAGCTGGGCATGATGGCACATGCCTGTAATCCCAGCACTGGAGGAGGCGGAGGCAGGTGGAGCTCTGTAAATTCCAGGCCAGCCTGGTCTACAAAGTGAGGTGGTTAGCCAAGACTACACAGAGAAATACTGGCTTGAAAAAAACAAACAAAAAGAAAGACAGAAAGAAAACCCAATACATAACAAAAGACAGATTATGGACAAGTACAGAAAAGTCGTCCCTAAGTACAGACAGACTTTCAGGAATCTCATGTCAAGACGTGTATTTTGCCTTTCTTAGAGAAATAAACTTGAGTTTATTTTCTTGGGTGCTGTTCTTCTAAAATTCTATGACTCATATAAAGCAACATAGTAACTCCCTATCAAAAAGTTCTATCTTGGACTGGATCCATGGCTGAGAGGTTAAGAGTACTTTCTGTCCTCCCAGGAAACCTGAGTTTAGCTCCCAGCACCCACACAGGGAGGCTTCCAACTGCCTGCAACTCCAGCTTCAGGGATCTGACAACCTCTCTGGCCTCTGGGCATCCTCATACACACCGCAGACACAGACATACAACGTAATGAAAAATAAATCTTTAAAGGAAATAATAAAAAGTTCCATCTTGCACACCATGCCTGCATTGTTTTGGGCACTTAGCAATTTTCTTCCTTATGTATTCAAACATGGGCCACAAACTCAACACTCAGAACTAGTAAACAAACAACACCATGGCTGGGCACCTAATTATCTTCAAACTACTCAGAATTATCACTGCAAACATGTCTTCAGTTCATCAAAAGCTCCTAGAATTGCATCAGCCAGAAGTAATACCAATGAAGACAAATGATACTAAGTGCACATACGTGTGGCCACAGGTGCACGTGTGTTCTTATATGTGTTGCATGAATGTAGAAGCCAAAGGGCAACACTGGGAACACTGGGCGACTTCTCAAATTTCACCTCTCCCTTCCTCCATATCTCCCTTCTTCCCTCTCCCTCTCTCTCCTTCTCCCTCCCTTCCTCTTCCCTCTCTCCCTCTCTTCCTCCCTCCTCTCTAGATAGGATCTCTCATTGAATATAGAAATCGAAGCTCAAGTAACATTTATTTTTAAACATGTATGGGTGGCTTGTGTGAATGCATGTCTGCATACAACCTGTATGCCTGGTGCCCACCTGGCCATCAAATCACCCGAAACTGGAGTTATAAATAGTTATAAGCCACAATCTGTGGGAGTAGTATTAAGGATTTCAGAGGGTTATGAGCTGCCATGTGGGTACTTGGAATTAAACCCAGGTCCCCCAGAAGAGCAGCCAGTGCTCTTAACTGCTGGGCCATCTCTCCAGCAAAATAATAATAATAATAATAATAATAATAATAATAATAATAATAATAA